ACTATTATTTTTAAATACGTTTGTCCCTCCCCAAAATACTTTCTTTCAACTGCTAATAAATCATAAAGTGGAGAGAACAAAACAAATGTTGTCCATCTTAGAAAATGGGACATCCTCAAAAAACGTTTTTCTTCGCCTCTCACTTTTGGGCTACTGCGATTATCCTAGCAGCTGTGTCCCTCTTTTTCTTCTTTAGTCATTTCCAGATTCAAGGGTGAATAAATCCATCAGAAACACTCCGTTCTTGTACGTGGACCCAAATAACAGATTTTATTGACTGAGAGACGTGAGACTGATTGAAAAAACAAGGATTCAAAGCGGCCTCCAGTGTCCTGTGGTCACAGTGACAATTTGTTAAAGGCTCGAGTTAATGTTCAGGATCTATGATCGATCATTAAATCTCTTCATCTTAGTGCAGTTCTTCTGCAGCTCCACTGCTTCCACATGTTGGGCCTTCTATAACAGCGTGTCATGTCTGAATAAAGCCACATGTTGCCAAATCTGAATGCAGCGTTCACTTTTTGCTGTTTCATAGTAGTTAGACCCAGCAGAAGGTCAAAGGGACACACATCTCCCTCATCCAGACCACCAGGTAATAATTATCGCTAAACTCTATATTGTGTTATTTACGGATGAATTTCTACCAGCAGAGGAAGTCCTGGAGCCTGCTTCTCCTCAGCCCCGGTGTTGAACGAGGGCCGGTTCATTTGCCCAGATGCATCAAACCGACATCCAGCATGGCAGTTACGTGCTGAATGTCGCTTTGTGATATGAGGAAATCATTGCCATGTGAATTTAGAAGTATTTGTATGATTACATAAATGGCCCAGCGAAACAGAAAAGAAAACCCGTGCATTTTCTGTACCCTGTGATAGCTGAGATGGTTCTGTTTCTGTTCTTTGTCCAAATATAGTTTTTTCATAACAAAAGTTTAATATTAACGTGACCGTTTAAAACATTTTCTGTCTAGTTTTAGGTTACATTTATTTGACTGTATCTTGATTTTTTTTCAAGTGACAGCTTGAAGTGGCAGAGCAGCCGACATCTGGCAGAACTCCGAGTCACTGCACCTATTTACACACGACTCTGTCTTACCTGTGGTCATGGTTACAATCTTGTAAAGCTAAACTGCATTATAGCCTGTTGTTTTGATGAATGGGGTCTGAGTACTGAGATGCTTGATTTAAATGGAGGCGATTTCAGCTTCAACCCTGGGAGCGTGCCTCTCTAGTGCAGGAACGAATTGTCTGAGGAAGCAGCGAAAATCTTCTCAGACCCCGACAAGGTCAAGTGTAAAAGTTGTCAGGTGTTCCGTTGGCTCATCAAAGGCAATCTCTTATCATCTTTAGCACGCTGATATCACATTACCTCCGTGGCCCCTGTCGGTATGCGGTGCAGGCCGGACACCGGGACAGTGGAGGGTCACTGTCTGCCTGAACCTGAGGAAGCCAGGAATTAATCTCTGACGGACAGCGTTAATGCCTTTCAGACCGGAGCCTCGAAGCTACAAAGAGTTCTCCGTAACACGAACGCCGTGCGCCGGGCTAAACGACAAAGTCGACCATCTGCTAACCAGACACAAGGCCGCATGCGCGCACACACACATGCGAGACACAAGGGGTGCCAAACGGATCGATTAGCAGACTAGGAGTGTGAGGGCCACAGCAGGGGGCGGGGGAGACACCCTGGGTCAAAGAGACGGTGTAGTGTTTCAGCACATGCTAAATCAGTTACCATCACACTCACACACACACACACACACACACACACACACACACACACACACATAAAAAAAAAAGACCTGGCTCAGGGCTGCAGCCGCCCTTCATAATCCCCAAACAATCTGGCTCAATCTGGAGAATAAGTGGGGGTTTCTGGTTACAGTAACACTCCACAGAACAGACACCCGGCCTCTCAAACACATAACAGAGAGCGGCGTCGGAGGAATGTTCCAGTTCCCAGCCATCGTCTGTATTTTCCCTGTTTAGAGATTGAGTTGCTCTTGCCTAATTCTGACACAGTGGGCAGCTGTGGGTGAGTCATTTAAACTGTAAGCGACCAGATCAGTGAGGGACCTTCAGAGTGTTCAATATAATTACTTTCCAAGACGAGGCGGGTTTAGCTGAGGAGGTTAACTCGGTGAAAGTGTGTGTACTCACAGTTTGAAGGGTGTGATTGTCTGAGTGCACCATGCTGAGCCACGGTGCTAACGACTCACTGATGCCTTCACCAGGACTCCCCGAGACTAACGGTGGGCTTCAGCCCGATGCCACACAAGCTACACGCAGCACAAGATTTACTCCCATCTTCCTCAAAACGCATCTGGGATTCAGATTTTGCTGTTTGTCAACAAAAGGCCTCCTAGAGGATAAAACTGTGTGGAAAGACAGAAAGGGGGGGTCGACATTGGGACAGAGTCCTGGCCTGCCCTCGTGCACATGTTTGGGTTTGTCTGATCCAACCACAGATGTCACGTTAACCCTTTCCACACAAACCTGGGGGTTTTATGGCTCGGTGTCACTACGCACCTCCTCGTGCTCCTCTCAAGCCCTCTTGCGGGGGATTTATGGCGGGTGGGTCTAGAAGCCACCTTGTATGTCTGCTACATGACAGCTGCTGTAACTTCCTGCCGACAGACGGGCTTTGTGGGGCGTAAATATAAAGTGTCAGCATAAAGCCCTTGAACATGAGTTTTTGCGAGTTGACCTTTAATAAAATCGTATAAAAAGCAGCCTCTAAATATTTACTGCACACTTTGATCGAGCTTCACATTTAGGCTTGGACTTGATGTGAAAAACAGATGAGAAACTTAACAAAACAGGGAAATATTAGTGGTCTGACGTATTCCCTCGATGGGTTTCTTGACTTATTAAGCATCTGTGCATTTTGAATCCCAAAGAAACACAGCTAATTAACCTTATTCCTTAAAAGGGCAAAGCACCCCCATCAGTAAAATTACTGGCTTGCCTGTTCATCATTCAGTCACTGAAGACGTATAACGTTTCTATGATGATTACATTGTTCTATTGGGGGGGGGGGGGGGGGGGGGGGGGCAGTTGTTTTTCTGCAGTTGCATTCAGATGTTTGGGTCATGGGCGTGCGTGTCATTCATTATTAATGAACTTATTGATTTAACCCATTATTTTGTCATTCGTCTTCAATGATTTGGCTAGACCAGTTTGAAGTTTCTATTTTTCTAAACGGGGAGTCGAAGTCACGCCCGTCTATTCCGGTCCGTAGGTTCCCTACTGTCAGAAATAGGAATGGGATCTCGTTTTGTGCGCCGTGGATTTCACGTGGACGTCTGTGAGTTTTAGACACATTTGGATGCCAGGACAGTGCGTATTTTTGACGGGCTGCAAAAGTTACTTTAGGCTTTGTGTGAAAAGACGCGTGGAACTACAAATGTTCTTCTCACCAAGTTTAAGTCATCAAACCAGACATGGAGAAGAGAAGATTTAGTGAGCTTCGTTTCCTTCCTCCAGGACAAAAGAAGGAGCGTTAAAAGCATCACCGCTAAGATCCTGCTGTTTGTGTTTAAACACCCTACCTGTCTGACACCTGTCTGACCTGCTCACGCCGCTGCGCTCACTGAGGTCAGCTGACCGCCTGCTACTTTGCACTCCGACCATGAACTATAACGCAAGGGGGAGCTGGCCTTTGTGCATGTTGCCCCATCCTCTAGAACGCACATTCGTTGCGGTAGAAGTGATTCTGCTGCGGACGTCATGTATGCGACGTCTGGTTTGCAGCCATCTTAATTACGCATTTTTACAAGCTAATAAATCCCAAATTACGTGACAGACGTATTCAAAACTCACATCATTACTTTTCATTAAAATTGAAGCATAACATAAGACTTGGGCTCCCTACTGGGACAAAATGATGCATACAGACGGAAATGTGTGCATGCATTCATTCATACGGTGCTGAAAGTTCTGGGATGTCTTTCAGCCTGAGAAGGGTTAGGGCTAATTACTTATCTATGGTTTGAACCTGCACAATTTACTAAAACTTCAAACATGTGAATCCTGTCCTTGCTTTTAAAAACCACTGAAGAAGAATGTAATCATTCCACCCGGGAAGGACTGAGCCCGAGTCAGTGGGCTCATGCTGATGATGAGTGGATGTTCTATATGGATAATGTAACTGAAGTTTTCTGTTCTCTTGGTAAAAGAATATTTAGTCATTAGTCTTCAAAGAATTATCTAATAAATATTAGAATGATTTAGTTATATTTTGGGGTCTGCTTTATGTTACAGGTTCCCATTGGAATCTTTAATTTTAGCTCAGCTGAAGCGGCTGTAACCTTCCATAGATCAGCTACGGGGCTCCTATCTGGCCAGAGGATCAGCTCGTGCTGAACAGATCCATGTGTCAGCAGAGCCTTTGACTGACAGCCTGTCACTTTCTCTTTGTCACCAGCACCGTGTGCTCAGATAGGATCTATAAGATGCTGGCTGGACTGCTTTTGATCCAACCAGGAGAATCCAGATTGCTGTTACTACGCTGCTAAACAGCTCGCCAGTTTAACTCCGATAGCGAACCTCAAAACGGAGTCAACGCAAGTTTTGGGCTTCACAGAGGAAAGTTACTTTGGATCCGATATGAATAAGAGATTTACACTGAATTCATCAGTAGAGTGGTCAAAACCTGTCTTTAATCATTCTGGAATCATCTTTTAAAAGAAAAGACTGAAATGTTAGTTATGCTCTAAATGCTGGACGATGCTTGGCTGTAGGTGCTTCTGTTTGGGCTCACAGTACCAGCCTGTCCCTGCCGACAGGAACGGACAGGCATGCATCTTATTACAGCTGAGTAACTATTTTCTAAAGGTGAATTTTATTATGAAATAAACAGAACAAAGGACAGATTTAGTCACTGAAGACTGTTTTAAATGGTGATCAGTGTCCCAGGAGGCGACCTTGGTCATTGAGGAGTTGAGTGTTTGCAATTTCCAGCCTTCTAAGCATCATATACATCTGATCTTCCTGTTACAGGTGAGCGTCCATACCAGTGCCCCTACTGCGACAAAGCTTTCAGCAAGAATGACGGCCTGAAGATGCACATCCGGACTCACACTCGGGTCAGTGATCTCCTCAGCTACTGTTGATCAGCCTGTTTCTCACTCTGGTCGCTCATCTCTGCAAACACTTGCAGCTGCTTCTTCACACGTGGTGCACACTTTTACCTTTTTAGGTACACCTGTTCAACTGCTTCTTAACACAAGTATCTGATCAGCCAATCACACGGCAGAACCTCCATGCCTTTAGACATTTGGTCAGAATTCCAGGTTACTGTGATCTGGGGCCAGAAAACAGACATGAATGTTTAACTGGGATATGTGATGAAGCAACGTTTAGCATGAGTCGGCTCCTGGAAATCCTCCGTGTTACTTCTTACTTTTCATTTGCAGTCAGCATGATTATTGAACTCATCAGGAATAAATGGTATCATTATTGAGTCATTTTAATCACTTTTGCACACAAAATGCTAGTTTTTGCTATTGACTTCCATTGTTTATGCTAAGCTAAAGCAGACGGACTGCTGTCGGACCAGGAGAAGCACTACGCTTGTTTTCTCACTTACCTAACTCTGTGGAATATGGCCTGTGTGTGTGTGTGTGTGTGTGTGTGTGTGTGTGTGTGTGTGTGTGTGTGTGTGTGTGTGAAAGACTCCCTTTTATTAATTTCAACAAACTGTGCAAAGAGAAGATCCACTAGCTGCAACAACTCGTAGGATAATGAACGTGTTAAATATGTGTGTGTGTGTTCGTTCATTCATCCGTGTGTTCTTGTGCATACTACATACTGAGGACCATTTTGACCATTTACAAGGTGAGGATATTTTTCTAAGTGAGGACATTCTTTTGGTCCTCACTTTTTTTAGAAGCTTACTATACTAGTTAGAGTAGAGTGTGAATTAAGCTTAGTTAAGGTTAGGGTAAGGAACAGATCAGCATTGGTTAGGGTTAGGCATGGTGAAATCACAAAAATGAATGGAAGTCAATGGAGGGTCCTCACTATGAGAGAAAGACAGATATGTGTGTGTGTGTGTGTGTGTGTGTGTGTAAAAGACTCCCTTTTATTAATTTCAACAAACTGTGCAAAGAGAAGATCCACTAGCTGCAACAACTCGTAGGATTTTGAACGTGTTAAATAAGTTAGGGTGGTTTGCTCCTCCCTCCTCATTCAGCACATTTTCATGCATCACTTTTCAGCTGCTTGAAGTTGTTAGCCCATGCAAATCTTTCCGTGAGCTCTTTGGATTACCTGGAGGTGCGTGTCAACGTGTGACAAACGAAACCTAGCGTGTTTATAGTTTTATAGTCATTGCTTTTGACCGTGACAGTTGCTGCATGTCAGCAGAGTTCATTCCAACAATCAGTTTATGTTCAGCTGTTCAGAGTTAAGAGCATCCTGCTCAGGTTGGCGTGCCTTGGTACAAACAGGCAGGTATAATTTTCTGATTAAAGTGACTGATGTTTTGTTCTGAACGTTCCTGGATCTGCCTTTGCTCACGGCGCTCTGAAATATGGGCCGAGCGGTTACAAACAGCAGAACCAGATGAAGTCACTGTGGAGAAAAAGTTAATGTCATTTGGCTGAAGGAGCTGCTGTTAATGAAACGATGATTGGAGATGGATGTGACTGGAGTTTGTGTGTTTTACACCACAAACCACATCACTGGCAGGCCATGCAGAAACACATCTGATGCAGATATGAACCGTGGTTGTTCTGTGTGTGTTGGAAGGGTTTGGATTTCAAACGTGAATGGATGTGCTTGTTTCACTTGTCCTACGATCACAGAAGTCGTTACCACCGTTTATTCTCAGGAAGCAGGACTGTTAATTGTGTTGAGATGGTTTGACAACTTTGAAGAAGAGTTTATATAAAGTACATCACAATTTATCTGAACTATTTCAAAGGCAGCACGTGTTGTGGAGTCCCAACCTACCTAGCATCATAACTCTGGCTCTTCTTCCAGTTTTGTGTTGTACACTAGCTTAAAAATAATAATAATAATAATAATGCATTGAACTTATATAGCGCTTTTCTAGACCCCCAAAGTCGCTTTCACACACTCTCACATTCACACACTGCTAGTGATGGTAAGCTACTTGTAGCCACAGCCGCCCTGGGGAGGTCTGACAGAGGCGAGGCTGCCATTTGGCGCCGTCGGCCCCTCTGACCACCACTAACACAGGCAAGTTGGGTGAAGTGTCTTGCCCAAGGACACAACAGCAGGATACCCCTGGCGAGAGCTGGAATCGAACCCATGACCCTCCCATCATGAGGCAACCCGCTCTGCCACCTGAGCTACTGCTGCCCCAGTAAATCATGCCATTCACACTTGGGTAGAAGCTGCCAAATGTTTAGTACCTGAATAATTCAACTCAGAAAGTCCTCCAATGTATAATTAGTCTCCATGGTAACAAGACCATCCACCCATTCACATGCTGATGGTGATGAGCTACGATGTAGCTACAGCTGCCCTGAGG